AAAGAGAGTGGTCTTTTGCTGAGTAGTGGTCGGTGCTGTGATGGCTTGGCTCTGCAGGGCTTGTGGAGAGGGCAGGAGGTGAATGGCTGGGGCTGGTGAGTGGTGAGTTTTGGTGCCAAGGATGCTGAGCTTGAGCCGGTGAGGCACCTGGAGGGAGGTGAGTGGGGGCAGGTGGCTCCTAGGACAGTGGCCCACGTGGGGGATGGAGGTGTGGGCGTCACCAGCATGAAGACGGTGACCAAGGCTGTGGGCGGTGTGAGGGCGTGGAGAGCATGAAGAGAGGAGGGCTGGGGCAGGGCTCTCGGGACACCTGGAGGGTGGCTGGAGGGAAGCTGCCTGTGCAGAGTGATGCTTGGGAGGGGGCCGAGGGGCCGGCCAAGGAGACAGGGTGTGGGGTTCTGGAGGGGGCGCCGCACCTGGCTGAGGGGAAGGGGGTGGAGGTGGAAGGAGAGAGGAAGGGGAAGTGGGGGCCCCCGGGGGCTTCCCGAGTGGGCGAGCTTGAACACACCAGCGTGCAGGGTGCGGAGGACAGAGGGAGCGGAGGGCAGGGCTGGCTGGGGGCAGGGGCACAGGTCACCAGCAGTTCAAAGAGGGTCCTTCTGTGTTTTTGATGTCGGAAGGGTGGGACCAAGTTGGGAGCCCCTATCTTGATGGGGCCTGGGGCAGCCCTTGGGGGGAGGCAGAGGCCAGCCAGGGAAATTTCTCCAGCTGTGCCCAGCACCTGTCGGGAAGGGCTGTAGTTGCCGCCAAGAGTGGATGGGCACGAGGGCCGCCTGGGGGGCGCCCTGAGCAGAGCTGGGACAGCTGCGTGCGGAGACCTGGTCCTTCGTCCTCGGTGGGTCCTGGGGTCCTGTCCCTGGAGTGACTGCAGGCGTTGAGGGCTGAGGGAGCCAGAGGCTGGAGCCCGTTCCGCTGCCCCGAGCCTGGCCAAGGGCTGGAGGAGTGCAGAGCGTGCCGGCCGTGGGGCTGAGGTGCTCCGGTGGCGGAGGCCTTCGGCTCCAGCCCTGGGGCTTCACGGGCAGTCTGCAGCAGGGAGCTGCTCCCCAGCTGCCCTGTGTCCTTTCCTGGGTGGCCCGGGAGCCTCTCAGGGAAGCGTGTGTCACCATCGTCAGGGCGGAGGGGACGGAGGTCTAGGCTGTCTCTGGGGCTGCAGGCTTGGCCTCCATGCCCTGTGGAGAGTCCCGGGCCTCCGGGCCTGCTTGGCTCTGACGCTTGTCAGTGACTCTGCCTCCGTCTCCCTGCCAGTGGAGCGGGGCTCATGTGGCCCTGGTGGCCAGAGGAGCAGTGGGTGTGGCCAGGAGCCTGTGGGTGTCTCTGCCCATCCTTCCTCCCAGGTCCCCGCCCCAGCCCCCCCCATCTTCAGGGGGTCGGGCACTGAGGCGCCCAGTGGGAGTCCCCCTGGCACTGCTGCTAGTGGCTGGTTGGGTGTAGTTTGGCCCAGGCTGGAGGCTGTGTACCTCTGGCCCTGCGCCTGACCCAGTGGCTGCCTCCTGGGAGGGACTCCCACCCCACCTGGGCGGGGGGGAGGGGGGTTTCTGCCTGTGGGGGGGTGACGTCGTGTCCCGTCTGGCTCCTGTCCCCACACTTCCCTGCACTGAGGTCGGGCCCAGGAGGACCCCACAGGACCTGCCTTCCCTCCTGCCGCTGCAGGCTGAGCCAGACGCTGGTGAAGGATGTGGCCACCCTGGCCCGCGAGATCCACGATGTGGCCGGAGATGGCGACTCGCCGGGCTACCCGGGGCCTGCCCACAGCCCCTCTCGTGCCAGTGTGCCCGGCACCCCCGCCTCCACCATCTCCGCCCGCGAGGAGGTGAGCCTGCCCTCGGCAGCCCCTTGCAAGCCCAGGTGGGGGGCCGTGGCTGTGAGCCCTCCCCGGGGCCGCACCCCGTGCCCAGCCCCGCCCCCCACCAGCCACCCTGAGAGTGCGGGCCCGGCACCTGCTCCATGAGGGTGGGGTGCCCAGGGACCCTGAGCGGCCGGGCGGCGTCTTCTGTATCCACTGCCTGGAGGGCGCCCTGCCCCATGGGCCATGCCCCTGCTCCCCCACCTCTGCAGCTGGTGCAGCGCATCCCCGAGGCCAGCCTCAACTTCCAGAAGGTGCCGCCCAGCTCCCTGCGCTCTCAGGACCTGGACCAGAACATGAACGACCGCTGCGAGGACCCCTTGGCCGGCAAGACGCGGCCTCGGAACCGCGAGGAGGCAGGTGCCCCTCCCCTCAGAGAGCTCGTTCTGGGCTCTGGGCCGCGTCAGGGCATGGAGGGCACAGGGATTCCTGGGGCATCCAGGCGCCGGGCTGATGCCAGGTCCTCGCAGGTGATCTTCGATAACCTGATGCTGAACCCCGTGTCGCAGCTGTCCCAGGCCATCCGCGAGAACACAGAGCACCTCGCTGAGAAGATGAAGTGAGTCGGCCCGCGTGCTGCTGGCCAGTGAGAGCCCCTGGGACGGGACGGGGAGCCACCGCTGCCCAGCGGACACCCAGCCTGAGGCCCTGACACGGGTACAGACGTGTGCCTGTGTGCCTGCACGCACACGCGCGCGCGCGGGTGCTGTTTGGCAACCAGCCCCTGGGCCTGGGCGGGCCAGAGCCCCCAGGGTGACCCGCCCCTGCCTGCACCCTCCTTTCCAGCCTTCCCCACATTGGGCCCAGAGACAGGGCGCTGGGACCGGCCCGCCCAGGTCCTGCTCCAGGCCTCAGTTTCCCCGTGTGCCCAGGAGGGGCTGGCATGGACCTCCCCGTGGCTGGTGGCGTGGCTTGGGAGGGTGCCATGCCTGGGTCTCTTGGTCACTGTCCTCTGCCTGTTCCCACCCCCGCCCCTCGGGGCGCAGGATCCTCTTTCAGAGCACAGGGCGAGCCTGGGAAGACCTGGAGGCCAGGATCAACGCGGAGAACGAGGTGCCCATCCTGAAGACGTCCAACAAGGTGAGGGGCCCCTCTGTCCCCCCGGCCCGCGTGGCTGCAGGGAGACCGGGGGGAGCTGCCCGAGCCCGGGGCCCCAGGGAGAGGCGAGCGCTGGGGCCCTGCTTCAGCGGCCTCTTTCCCGCCCGCCTCCAGGAAATCAGCTCCATCCTGAGGGAACTGAGGCGAGTGCAGAAGCAGCTGGAAGGTGGGTGTGGCCCAGGCCCGGGGCGGGGGGGG